TTTTATTTTTAATTCTAAAAAATGAGTGCAATGCTGTCCTGAAAGAATACATGAGAACAAGTGCAATATAATGTCCATGGCATTTCAGAAACCATTTAGACATTCTAACTCTCTGGAATCAAACCCAGGGCCCTTTGGTTGGGTGCTTGTTGCTTTTCACAGCACTGCATGGAAGCCAGATTAGTTTGATAGCAAGAAGAGCTTCCAAGGTGAAAAAGCACACACAAAAGCATACGCTAGCATGTTAACAGATTAGCAACACAACAACACCAAGAAAATATTTTTGGACAATTATTTCAAAAGTTATAGACTTTTTGGGCGCAAAAAATCTTTGAAACACTAGGTGGCGCTCTCTTCAAACGTCTCAGGTAACAACAGGATGTGCTGTCAATGAGCCATACAAGTGACGACAAGATAATATTGATAATTACAACAAATTTCAAAATGGCGGACAGGAAATTCATCCAATCCTGGAAAAGTATTTGATAGATTCGACATGACTCAAAGAAAAATAGCCATTTTTCCGATTCCAAGGTGTGGCGGTCACCAAATTTGGCAGGTACCCTCAGATCATGGTGCTAAAGAAGCGTGCAATGTTTCATTTTAATAAACTGAAAAGTCACTGTCTCATCCAATTTTGGGTCAACATTGCTAACTTTGCATAGGATGAATAATAATAAGAAAACTAGCAAACGCTAGAGGGGCTACACACCATTGGTGCTTGGCCCCTAATTAGGCTAACTTTAGACCATCTCTAGGCAACATCTCATGAATACTCACATATTTGGAGGTGAGACTGGCAGCACTGATGTTGAAAAACGTAGCGTTAGATTCCATTGCAACAGCTTTCGCCTGTGAGGAAATGGAAAAGCTCAAATTCTGTTCTGTTCTTATGGTATATAAATAAAAATGCATCTAAAAAGAGGCTTTTTTGTGCTTTACCAGCATGGTCTTCCCATTTCCAGGGGGGCCGAAGAGCAGGAGTCCTCTAGCGGGAGCCCTGAGACCAGTAAACAGCTGAGAAGATCAACATAAATATCTTCATAAATGTAAAAATACAATTTGTTCTATAATATTAGCAGTACAGAGTACCAATACTGTAGAATGTAAACAGACAGGAACAAAAAAAGATTTCTAGGGATGAATTAACCACCATGAGATGACTAAATACAAAACTGTGATTTACAGTACAGTAATCTGGAGCTAAGTGACATGCTCAGTGGTTTTAATGCAGCGTACATGAATCATCTCTTTGAACCAAAAAAAAACAAAAAACTTTTGGTTACCAGCCCAGCAGTGAATCAAACCCCAGCCCTGCATCAAAACCCCATAGATTAAGAAAAGAAAAATAATTTTCTTATGTTTCAACTGGCCCACGATCTTTAGGCTACACCAGCTGAGACAATACAGATGTGGAGAGACAAACCTCTGGACGAAGAGCAGGCAGGATAACGATTTCCTGCAGTGCCTGTTTTGCCAAATCCTGCCCTGCTATGTCATCAAACCGCACCGCAGCCCCGCTGAATCAAACACAACCACAGAAATCATCAGCTTCCATGTTATAATTCCAATCTTTTTTATAGTATCTCAAAACATATCTTATAAATATTTATGTAATATATATATATATA